ACGGGTTTTCTCATTTTATGAAACTCATATGACGCCGAAGGTTATCAAAGTACGAATACACCTCATCACCCTCTTGCTTTTACGTGAACAAAGCTGACTAAGGGCTGTAGCTACCCGACGGGAGCTATGGGCGACATGGGGACCACGTAATAGTGGTTAGTAGGAATTCTGTGGAGTTAGGTATTTCTGGTCTCGAAGAACTCTTCTCAGCCCCGGCAAATCATTCGACAATTGTCAAATTCAAAAACGAGCAAGATCCAACATATCGGACTGTTCACGACCGCCTTAAGGAACTCGTACAATCAGCTGAAGCTGCGGCCATTCAAGGACTAGGTATGTAATTTTGTAGCCTGTATAACGGCGGATTATTTCCCGTCCCTGGTAATCCAAAGAATAAGTTTGGGTGATCCAGGAGGGAAAAACCCCTTGGCGGCCATATATGCGAGAGAATCACATTTTCCCACGCGGAAGCCGGCAGATATAACATCACGCAATCATGAACGGCACGTACTAAGGGAGGTCTGGAATTATAGAAAAGTCGCAATACATAGTTAGCAAAGACGGAATTGGTGATATCAATACACGTAATAACTCCTTCAGACCGTTCTCCTCGCTTTTTCTATCTATATGGCTATGGCCTTTGGATTTTCGAGCTAATACCATCTTCCGCAGAGCGAGATAAGATCAAAAAGATCAAAGAGATCAACTTTGTCATCCCGTTCGACTTACCACTTCCTCGAAACCGTAATTTCGTCGGTAGGGTGGAAAAGCTGGCACAAGTCCACGAACATTTCTCAGAGCCGAATGTTTCAGACACACCTCGCTTTTTCGCACTCGTCGGTACCGGTGGAATGGGTAAAACACAAATCGCCATCGAATACGCCTATCGACACCGCCACAACTACACGGCTATTTTCTGGGTGTCCGCAGCAAGCGAAGACACCATCCGTACTTCTTTCATCAATATTATGCAGCGCATAGTTAAAGAGCAAGCTCGAATAACGTGGCCTGAGTCCTCTCCCGACTATCAAGCTATAGGCTCGAAACTCAGAATACCAGGATTGATTAATCAGAAAGGTACAATTAGTGCCAATCTAGAAGCAGTTGATAATATACGATCGGCTCTGTTCAACTGGCTGCAAATGCCAGGCAACAATCGTTGGATACTTATTTTTGACAACGCGGACGATTTGGAGACTTTTGATCTACAAAGATACTTTCCAAATTCTGGCGACGGGGCTATCCTTGTTACTAGCCGCAGGCCAGAATTCTCACATAGAGCGGAACAAGTATCTTTGGAAGGACTTGATGATGAAAGTGCGATCAAGCTTCTGTTAGATTTGGCACAGTTACCGAGTTCTCCGGAGGGTACGCTAGTAGCTAACCCCGCGCCCTGATATCACGCTAATAGCTTTTAAGATCTTTCCGCTATTAAAGCCGGCGCAGCTAGTCTCGTTGCAATATTGGGCTTCATGCCCCTTGCTATCAGTCACGCAGGCTGCTATATATATGAGACGAAACTCCCACTAGGGGACTATCTGTTGTACTACAATAAAGCCTTCATGGCCGTGCAATCCAGAAAACCAAGATTCGGGTGGAACTATCGGAACGATACAGCTGCGACAACATGGGAGATTTCATTCTCGAAGATAGAGGAGCAAGATAAAGAGGCGGCATTACTATTACTCGTATGCTCATACCTCAACCCTGAGGAAATTTCCAATAGCCTATGGGAGGATGAGCTAGCCGACAAGATCGAAAGTAGGTAGTTTCACGTCGGATTATATCGTTCTATATACTGATAATCAACGAAGTCGAGAACAAGATTCTACTCCTTGCGTCGTATTCGCTAGCCAAGGTAATGCGTTTCGGGCTCTTCTCTGTTCATCCTGTTGTCCATATGTGGGCGCGAGAACGTTCAGACCGACCGGGACGTTTCAAAACTATGAGGCACGCCGTAACAATTCTCGGAAAAGCTAGTCAACGGGTAAATGTATCGCGGGAAAGTAACGAGTGGAAAGCTCAAGAGGAGAGGATAATTGCGTCGCACTTAGAGTATCTCCACCAATATTCAAAGCCTCTGTTCCCTGCATTCCCTCTGAAAGAGCAGGGGTTCGAAGATCAAATGTTATTTGACTATTTCCATAATATCGCTTTAGTCTTCTACAACCAAGGCAAGCACGACGAGGCCATGCAGTGGTACGAGCGAGCACTTTCTGGTAAAGAAAAAGCCTTCGGCAGAGACCACCCGTCAACACTCAACACAGTCAACAACATCGCCTTAGTTTTCGACAACCAAGGCAAACACGACGAAGCCATGAAGTTGTACTGGCGGGCATTTACTGGCTACGAGACGGCTTTGGGTAAAGATCACCCGTTAACACTCAAGGCAGTTCATAACATCGCCGGAGCCTTCGACAACCAACGTAAATATGACGAAGCCATGAAGTGGTACGAACGAGCACTTACTAGTAAAGAGAAGGCCTGCGGCAGAAACCACCCATCAACACTTAGCATAATTAATGATATCGCTGGAGTTTTTTTTAATGAAGGCAAATACGACGAAGCCATGAAGTGGTACGAACGAGCATTTACTAGCAAAGAAAAGGCCTTCGGCAGAGACCATCCATCAACACTTAACACAATTAAAAACATCGCTGGAGTCTTCCTTAATCAAGACAAACACAACGAAGCCATGCAGTGGTACAAGCGAGCACTTGCTGGCTACGAAATGACCTTGGGCAAAGACCACCCGTCAACACTTGACACGGTTCATAATATCGCTTTGGTCTTCTACAAGCAGGGTAAATACGACGAGGCCATACAGTGGTACGAGCAAGCTCTCGCCGGCAAAGATAAAGCATTCGGCAGAGACCACCCGTCAACACTTGACACGGTTCATAATATCGCTTTGGTCTTCGACAAGCAGGATAAATACGACGAGGCCATACAGTGGTACAAGCAAGCTCTCGCCGGCAAAGATAAAGCATTCGGCAGAGATCACCCGTCAACACTTAACACGGTTCATAATATCGCTTTGGCCTTCGACAAGCAGAATAAATACGATGAGGCCATACAGTGGTACGAGCAAGCTCTCGCCGGCAAAGAGAAAGTATTCGGCAGAGACCACCTGTCAATACTTGGTATAGTTAATAATATTGCCTTAATTTTTGATAATAAAGGCAAACACGACGATGCCATGCAGTGGTACAAGCGAGCACTTGCCGGCTATGAAGAAGTTTTAGGCAAAGACCACTTCTTAATATTTAATACAGTCGACAATATCGCCTTAGCCTTCAGAAATCAAGGTGAATACGACAAAGCTATACAGCAGTATGAGCGAGCACTTGCTGGCTACGAAATGACTTTGGGCAAAGACCACCCGTCAACACTTGACACAATTCATAATATCGCTTTAGTTTTTGATGATCAAGATAAATACGACGAGGCTATGCAGTGGTACGAGCGAGCACTTTCTCGCAAAGAGAAGGTCTTTGACAGAGATCATCCGTCAATACTCAGCACAGTTAGCAACATCGCTGGAATCTTCCTTCGTCAAGACAAATACAACGAGGCTATGCAGTGGTACAAGCGAGCACTTGCTGGCTACAAAATAACCTTGGGCGAAGACCACCCGTTAACACTCCAAACAGCTGAATTTCTGCATACTTTTACTGAGAATATAAATATATTAGAGGAATTTGGAGCAGGCAAGTCGGTGTAGGTGCATACATAATTCTAAGTGAAGAGCGGAAGGATATTTTCTATAATTATAATTTGTAGTCTATCTATACTATTCTGAATTTTCTATAGCAATACACCTTGCGAATTAGATTCTAAGTTTATAATTTCTGGCAAGTTTGATTATCAGGGCCATCAGTTTGTCTTTTACCTGAATAGAACCCACCAACCCGCAGGATGAAGTAAAACGTATTTTTGCGAAAGGGAGTGTGTTTCCCAATGTGAAGATCGATTGTTAAAAAGGAGGATCCTAACTAATGATTTATGCCGGTGTTCTGTTCTGATTGATTGATAGAGATGTGATTGAATCCTTGAACTGGATGAGGGAAATACCCAAAGGTAGGAAGGATTTGGCCCGCTAGAGAAAATGCTATTAACATTCAAGTTAAAATTACTAGTTTGAGAATCTACGGGGCTATGAATAAAAGTTAGGGAATGAATGTTGAGAAGTTGCCTAGCTATGGGGAGGAGCTAGTGAAAAGGGCGAAGATTGCAGTTCTGATAGTCTCGCAAATCTAGGAGGTTTTAGTGGTAGTTGTTCTGGATTGGACAACAAGGATCGGGGAAACTTTATTATAACGTTTTAGTTAAAGTAAATCTATGTTTTGGAAGAGGTAATAAGAGATTTTGAGGAGTAATTAAGCCCCCCAAATTGAGAATAGCCAGGATAACGCCATGAAGAAACATAAGATTGATCTGTTCCGAAGATTATGATAAAATTTTGACATTTGCAGGGACGTTACGTCTTGCCTGCCTTCTCGTTACCCCGTCGCTAGTTCTGGGTTGCCTCAATGAGCTTTAGCGAACTGGTAGACAAGAATTACTCTGCGGCTACATTTATAGTATTACTGATACCGCTATTTCCCTCTAATAATTCAGGGTCTAGTAAACCGAACAATCATTACCTCCTTATAATCCAACAGCCAACAGCAGTATACAGGATATACCGACACCATTGCATCATACAACAGCAGTAGAATAAAAGAGTTCTGTTCACTAACCGCTCAAAAATTTATTCCATATATTTACTTTAGCTAAAAGTAGAAAATACTAACCCAGGTATAAAATAAAGGACAGAAGTCTCGGCATCGGAACCGAATCCCCTAAACAGGAAATGCAGTACGAGGACACAAATGGAGTTCCCGAACTGAGATGGACTGACCAAATAGGTCCAAACCCCAAAACATAATATAACCAACAGTTGTCTCGAACCAAACCGCTACGTTTACACCAATGAAACTAAAACAAAAATGGTCCAAAAAGAGATGGTCCAGTGGTCAAGATTTCCGCCTGTCAGTTGGGGAGGGTAGAAAGCCATCAAGCCTGAAGCCTAAAGCAACAAAACCAAAAAAAAAGCGCGCGGACGACCGGGGTTCGATTCCCCGTCTGAGAGTTCCTTTTGCACTTTTTCTTTTTTTGATTTGAACATTTTTGGACTAGCATACAAACGCTTCGGGACTGGCATATAAATACGTGTTGCCTGGTCGAGCGCGTCCGTTTGCCCCAATAATCAACACAATTTAGTAACGAGATTGTGCATCTTTTCAGTCAGGGCGGCTGGTCAAAATGTTTTGGTTCTTTACATGTAGTATCAAATATCTACTGTTGGATATCGTAAATGTAGTAGTTCCAAACACAAGTAACCATGCGGATTCGGAGCTATCTTCTGCCACAATAGAGTACCTTGGAGAACGACGATGGGAATAAAGGTCTAAGGCCTATTAGCCTAGCCTATTAACTTATAAATGTAGTCCATGTACATTCTATGTCTCGCACATGGAAATTCTGGGCAGTCCTTTATTGTCGTAAGAAGGGTTCGAAAATCATCAGCTCTATATTTTTCCTACTACTATTGTGCTACCCCGAGCGCCATGCGTTTGCCCTGGAGAAATATAAAAAATTTTGTTTCTGCTTTTAGTATTCTTATATTTGCAGCTTCATTGAATCGTTCCATGTTGATTTTATACTTTAAATTTGCGCATCTCCATTGCAAGCAGCCTCCTCTTCCGTTCTAATCGCACCCGTCTGATATTTGACGATGTATGTTGGCGGGTAGGAGGTTCGAGATAACTAGGTTTGAGATTTTGATTTCTCCGGACGTAACTTCACCCATTGAAACGAGATAAATTTGGGCCTGTATATTCTAGTTCTAGTTCACCAGGTTACGAGTATGCTAGTCCCAGTCCCAGCGAGTATGCGTGATCTGCTATCTCTGTCTTCGCGTTTTAAAGGGACTATGCTAGTTTGCGCTGCCCTGGTGCAAGCATACCTCCGCGAAAAAACGCGAAAAGAAAAATATTAAAGCCTCATTCTTCTGTCTTGTAATCATGTCTTCTCACAAGTTATCTATGCTGCTGCAAAAATCTCAACAGCTGTCAACCCTATTTTGGCGCAATAAGAAACGAGAAGTCTTGATGGCCAGCTTTTCTGCAACCGAACTCAATATATTAATATACATCACAGATAGATATTTCGATATCGGTAATTAAGTTAACCTTAGATGCCAAATCATGTGAGCCCTTCGGGAGGGTGTTAAACAAAAAAGGACGGATCAATCCATCTATAGTGTCTCAGCAATAAAAAAGGTTAAGCAGATATCTACCGAAACTTAGGCTTCCGTTTAGGAATTAGGTATGCATAAGGTGTGATTTCTTACTTTCACGGGCAAAATTGGTGGCTCTGAATAAATAGATCCATAAATGCCAGTAGTGCTTTGATACGTAGATACTAACTGCTTCGCATTTCAGATGAGATACAGGAATTTGGCACGGGGCCTATTACCAACGGTAATTTGGGAACCTAAAATAAGTTTAAGCCGTATATCAAAAATGATTTCCTGAATCAGAACCAAGGCTTTCTTGACAGTTCTGATTAGAGAGGGCATGGCTTATACCACTGGGATCGTTCTAGCAATAGAGGGGTGAGGTAACAAACCATGGAAACTCGACGCTCTTTCCCCCATCTCCAAATAAAATACGACAATTCTTTCAATATCCACCTGCCCTAGAGGGGGGTATGGCGATATGGCGTTATTGGGTAGACCTTATTAGAGGCGCTTTTTGGGGCCTACAAAAACGCCCAGGAAGGTTAGTAAACCCCTCGTAGACGAACTCTGGTATCAGCAAAGAGAAAGAGGGAGCGGAAGCGAAAGTCACTGGGCCAGCGAAGCTTTTCCTGCTGTGCCGTACAGTGGTCAAAAGCTTGACCCCATTGCTGGCCTTCAAATTTGCTACTCGTGTGTTGCGAGATGTGGACAATTGCGCTTCGTGAACCGTGCGACTACTAACGTCAAAATCCAGCGCCGCGCCGCGCTGCAGCGTCGAAGTTTCCCCGTCCGAAGCATTATACTCTCTTTCAAGCAAATGTAAGATGTCAGAGAAAAAGGGCTTAATTTTGGTCCTGAGTTTTTATTTGTTACTACTTAATAAATCAATTGAGGTTCGCGTTATATCACAACTGTAGTCATAATATCACTGCTTAGTAAGTAATCATATATATATTAGTTGACTTGGGAATTTTTTCTTTAATAACTTGTTATTGTCATTTTAAATTGCTTCATCAAATTTAATATATCCTCTTGTAACTTTCTGTATGTTGATAAAAGTACGAGGGGTTTATAAAATTTATTCCACAGCTTTGGTTGACTTGTGGAGGGGAAAAGTCAAGTGGGGAGTTAGCTAAACCTCGTTGAGCAGTTGACATAGCCACCAGAGCTGGATTAAACCCGCGTCTATCTGACTTCGACCTAGCACAAATAGTAGAAACTGTCGGGAAAAGTGAGGGGAATAAGGGATTTTCCAACTTTCTTTATCTTTTACCATACTGACAATACGAAATCTTATTGTTGGAATCATGTAGAAAGATCAAGCATACAGTATGAAATTTTTAACGAGAAATCTCTCAATGCTTGCTGCTGAACTAATTATTTTCTGCTTTTAACTTGTAGGTTGTATTAATCTGGTCGTCAAGCACTACCCGCTCTCCTTACTCGTCTTTTGATGTGCCCCCTTGGTTTGTTAATGATGCTATATAATCCTGCAAAAATAGCATCAGTTGCATCCTTGTCGATCTGGGACCTAGACGAAGAGTTAATCGACTTCTAAGGCATTGAGTATGGGTAACATACTCTTTTTCTTCTAGTTTATTCCGAGAAAGACAGCCATAACATAGGCCTAAACGACTGGTGCCCTTGAATTGATCGAATTTGCGACACCCTCGACATACGATGCCATGCAAACGGCCAGCCCCTCCATAATCGAATTGCACACCTGGAAGATAGCGTCCAGTAGATATGCCACATGATATACAGGAGCGGGCTGCTCTATTCACACATGAACCAGATGCGAACTTCCCTCTTTTGCCCCTCATCATTGCGTTAGAAAAGCCCTCGGCCCGTTTTATCTTAAGACAGAGATGGCAGGCGAAAAAGTCGGTTTCTGGAAAAGCTTGTCTGAGATCGTGTGGACGGTCTTTGGCGGCATTATAGCACGGCCATAATTCTATTTCTAGTAAATCTGCCATTTCGTAAACCTCTCCTTGTCGAAGGATATCATACAGAGCATGACATGTCCATCTCATCGCCAGAATCGACGGGTAACTTAGGTGACTCGAGATATTCATCAATATCTCATTTGAGAGGTCTAAAATGCCGATCGCCATGGCTATCCGTCGTCAACCGTAGGGAGGATGATTAGTAAGATATTGTTGGACCTTTGAACGCACTGGAAATCGCGAGTTGCGTCTTCAGGGGTCCTGTAGTGATGACAAGGCAGAGTCACCGAGGCTGATCATTTTGAAAGTCTTGCCGTCGATGTGTTTGTTGGATAGCGCCACCCAAGGCAAGGATATAAAATATACATGAACAGCGTATTTCTGAGCACACCTTTTCGAGTCATCGAAGGTGGCGATTTAGTTCGAGACAAGAAGCACTATTAATCCTTACGAATGGTTCTTAAAAGTTATTCCCGCCTTTTTGGACCCATAGAGTACCTCAGCCGAAAGTTTCAAGAGGTTGATTGTACTGGTGAGACGTAACGCCGCAGTCTATCTAGTGTGCCGGCAGGTACGAGGGAAGCTGGGAGATTAGTATATAGATCAAGAGTGTACGGGTCACATAGCTAGAGCAAGTTGCCATGCTATGAGCGTCCCCATCTCCTGACGTGCTGTTTATATACATGTAGGCCTGGCTGGCACGGTGGTTGCCTCGGTCACCGAGTGGTGGTATTGAGCTCCCACGGTTGCCTCCACTGCTCAGGCCTTGATTGGGGCCTGGCAGGTTCCTGGGTGGTCACCCGTCCGGTCATGCTGGAGCATGGCATGGGAACTTGTGCAAAAAGAAACATGGCCGATTCAAAAGCCAAAAAGAGAGTATATTTGTAGTTCCTATGGAAAATGGCCCCGAACTAGAACAGTGGGCCGGGATCGCAGAAAACGATACTCCTGGACAGCTTATCAATGAGCCACAAAAATAAAACTCAAGGAAAACCATAAAGGTTAGGAAGAGCTGGTGTACAAATTGAGCAGATTCTTAAGTTCAGGTTTTAGGCGCGACTCAATATGTTTAGAAGCTCCGAACAACTTTAACAGCCAAGCAAACTGCCCCATCGTCACAGTATTCTAGCCCAGTAGCAACCCATCTGTGCCCTCTTCGGTCCTCTTTCTTGTTCAAGGTTTGTAATGCGACACTTATTGCTTGCCTCTTGTGATCTGGCATTTGAGATATAGCCTTTAAACAAAAAGATCCGGGAGGCAAACTTTTCTCGTCTATTGGGGTCATATCAATTTTTGGAGGAGTCCAGTTGTAACTGGTCCCCCGATTTTCTTTGAAGGCGAGGAGTTGGGCGTCAGAAAGCGCCGGATATAGTGTATAGTCCTATTCGAGAGATTATTATCATGAATAAATACATTTGCTAGAGATCACACGTACGCTGGAATTATCCACCATTTTCTCTGAAAATTCTTAAGGGTTTGCGATGATAATTGAAATTTTGAAAAGGGCAGATTTCATGCTCTACAGTTGCCTCTAAGCATCGCCCTTCCATGGAATGTATAATAACGTTTGCAGGCGAGTAGTGACGAAATATGTCTGAATGTTGGCTCGACACAATGCTGATACTTTTGAAAGATCATTAATAGCTGATAGGTATAATTCCATTTAGAGACCCATATTTGATAGATCAATGCTTTATTGTATACCAGTTTTTTAGTTTCATTAATGCTTAGTTGAGAGATTTATACTTAAAAGGCCTGTTCAACTAGGCAAGAAGTTGACATGCCCGCATACGGCACTGACCCGCTGAGAAATCTCTTTGTCATGAGAGCTTATGTACTTACTTTCGACTATTCAGGGTTGCGGGTTCCAGCCATCTGTAACAATCTTGGGTGCTGAACCAG